GAGTTCCTTTAGAGAATTAATCCCGAGTGCCTGAGGGTATCTACTGTATGTATGAATTTCTCTCCTTTGCGTTTAGACTAATAAGAGATATATATCATATTTGGAAGAACTATAGCCACAGAAAGGTAGTTAAAACAATAGTGAGGGAAAGGGATGCAAATGTGACAGATGGTTAGATTACTGAGCATTTTAAGGATCTTAAAAGCCTGCAGAATGACTTGGTGCAGTATTCCCTTTGTTTATAAAGAGAATTTATCAGTGTGAATCTACCTTTCTCTTAACTTTGAAAACCAAAGTAGAAATGTGATTACCATACAGAGGAGAATATGTAATGTCTATAAAGGTAGTATCTATATCTTAAAATGCATCTACAAAATGCTGATTCGGACATACTACTAAATTTATTTCCTAGCCCATAGTTTATAAAGCGCTGCTATCTGGTACGTGCCTAAATATGGATTATTTCATCATAGAACATGTTGCCTCATCATCAGGTTTACTAAATATTGCCAAATTTTTCCCTAAAGGGTTTATACCAATTTACAGTCCTATCAAACGTAAAACAGTTGCTGTTTCCTAATTTCTCATCTATACTTGGTATTATCAGACGTTAACATTTTTAAAATTAATTAAGATTGGTGTGAAATAGTCTCTAGTTTTCCTGATTTTTGCCTTTCTTTGATCATCTGGAACATCTTTTCATGATTAACATTAGCATTTCCCCCTTTTGTGAATTTCATGCTCTTCTTCTGTCCATTTTTTCTGTTAGGTTGTCTTTCTTATTGGTAAGTGTTTGTTTTAAACTCTTTTGAATACCAATCTTTTGTGGGTTGTATGTGAAGTGGTATCTTCTCCCAATCTGAGGGGAGCCAGAATCCAGGTCCTCTTAATTCTGTTACGTATCCTTCTTAGTCTGCATCTCACTGCTTAACCAGATGAACTGGATGCTTCCAAGGGAAATTGATTCCTGATAGGTGCAGCCACAGCACATTGTTAGGTTCATACACCGGTTTTTCTTCAAAGTAGATGGGGAAATTTTTAAAAACTATATTAACACTATTAGAGAAATGGCACTTAGGACTATTAAAACAGATACTGAATTTTACTGTGTATTTTAAAGTCTGACTTATCTATAAGAATGTTCATGATATGTGCCAGAGAGGCAGGGTGGTCTGTTTAGATTTGACAGTTTCATAATGATGTTCTTTTGAAGTTATTTACTTCTCTTCTGCCTCAGCCTCCAGATTTAGAGTGTCCTGGATTTCTTTTTCCAAGCCATAACATCCTCTCCAGGCAGACACACCCTTGAATGTGTGCTTTTTTGTTTTTAGTTCTTGTTTGGATCCTTTATTCCCATTTAAGAACATCATGCCAAGGCTTTTCTTTGCTTTAAAAATATGAAAGGAAAAAGTATAGTAAAACAGAAGTGCTAATAATAGACAGGTATTTCTCTTCATTAGCCGCCTCTTGGCTGGTTTGTTGTGCTGCTGATTTTCTGGGCAGCCATGCAAATGAGTTTGGTCACCTAGCAACGGAAGCTGGGACTGAGTCCAGCTCTGATGCAACAGTGAAAAAGAACCTGCAGTTATAACAAAAGAAGTTTGACACTATATTACATTTCTTCAACCTCTTTTTATAATCTTAGCTTTAATTTTTAATGCATATGACCAGAAAATAAGGTGTTAAAGAAGTTTACTTATCTACCTCAGTGGTTTAAACTGGAAAATCAGAATGGTTAGGGAGCTCAGAAAATTTCAGGAAATCATCTAATACATTGCTCATTCATGCTTATTTTCCAAACATAGTAAATAAGTTATAGAGCTTGAATATAGAGAGTTCGAATGTAAAGGTGTTCTGTTTTTCTTACCTGCGTAGTGGAGACCATAGTAAGCCTTAAGGAAATAAAGAGATGCAGAGGGCATCTTTGTAAATCTTTGTAATAAACCCAGAGGAAATTGTTTAAATATCAGTCTCTTAAGATTTTCTAGGTGATCAACATTTATTTTTCGTATGTATGAAAGAATTCAAGATATTCTTTTGTTTGATCTGAGCAGATACTATCTTGGTGGTAGCTATTAAAATTCTGACTTTGTATATACCACCAAATAAAATTGTCTATTTTAACATGGTCTGTGCTTTGAGCTCACCAGTGTGTCTTCCAAAGTTGTTTTCTTTTCTTTTTCTAAGGAATAGATACCTGATAAATTTGTTGAGAGTTGATGCGATTGGGGAATAATTATTAAGTGAGTAAGTAGAAACCTGAAGGTTGTATTTGGATTTAATGAATTTGATAAATTAGGGAAAGATCTTTCTTAATTTTAGTCTCAGTGATTCTTTGCTTATAGTGTCCAGTTAGATATTTAGAGAGTTATAGGCAGAATCCTGAGTTTGTAATAAATTTTGTCATATTCAGAGATCCACTCCTTTTATTAATTCGAATGGCCCTTTGGGGAGTAGAATATGGAAGAGTATAACATCAAACACCTGCTGGGCCTCTGCTCTAGTCCAGAAGGAGAACACAAAGTAGCACTACTTCTGATGATCTAGTTTCACTTCCAGTGTTCTAGTGGTCATAGCATAAAGATATAACTTGCCTAAAAGTATTGATGAACTGATAAAGTTAACTCTCAACAGGCAGAATCTGATAAGCAGAAATTAAACACAAGACCTCATATAAACAACTGTAGTTCTTCTGTGCTAGGGAACAGTCTATTCAGTATGTGTGTGGATGTTATTGCTTCAGTGTCTAGATAGTTTGTATTATTTCCATTCTTCAGGTTTAGTACTTGGCCCCCCCAAAAAAAAGGTCTGTAAAAAGAAAATGAATAAAAATTAAGAGTGACAGTAGTTTTGGTTTTTTTGTTTGTGATTTATCTAAGTGATACAAATCTTTATGTATTCAGTTTTAGGCTATTGGCTTGATACCTAAAAATAAGGTAGATAGCTCTTTCTAAGGAAGAAAGATGTGTTTAATTTTGGAGAGTAGCACTCCTACATCGTGATTATAAATAGTAGGCTATTTGCAGTTGCTATTGCAGGTTACTTATTACCTGTTCTTGTATGTCCTATCAAATGATCCCATATTGGTTGAATTGTATTTAACCAATGGTTGACTAGGATTGCAATTTTAGTTAAATCTAAATGATCTTGTCTAATTAAGTTTATATGCTTTTACAAAGAGATGCAAGACATTTATTAGGAAATAATGCCTGTGAAAGATAAAGGGAGCGGAAGTGGAATCGGGCAGGGAAAAAGCTTTCAGACCACAATGTAGATGTGCTTCTCATTCACCCTTGATGTTTCAGGTTTCCTTCTGATACTGTTTTCTTCTTTCTGAAGGACTTATTTTAGCAATTCTTTTAGAGCATGTCTGCCGATAGCAAATTTAGTTTTTTTCCATCTGAAAATGTCTTTATTTTGTCTTCATACTTGAAGGATGTTTTCAATGAATATATAGAATTCTAGGATAATAGTTCTTTTCTTTCAATACTTGAAAAATATCATGCCACTTCTTTTGGCCTCCATGATTTTTGTTGAGAAATTTGCATTCAGATCATGGCTCCCCTATAAGTAACAAATCACTTTTCTCTGGCTGCTGCGAGATTTTTTTCATCGTTATTTATTTTTAGCAGTTTGATGCTGAGGTGTCTGGGTAGGGTGAATTTCTTTTGAGGTTATTCATTTTGGAGTTTGCTAAATCTTAGGTTTATGTCTTTTGCCAAACTGGAAAAATACTCTTGAACAATTTTTTTTCTATACCACATTCTTTCTCTTTTCCTGTTATTCTGATGACACAAATGTGTGAAATCTTTTGTTAATTTCCCACTGTAACCCCAAACTCCTGGGCTCAAGTGATCCTCCTGCCTCAGCCTCCGGAGTAGCTGGAACTATAGGCATGCCAATACGTCCAGCTAATTTTTTCTATTTTTAGTGGAGACAGGGCCTCACTCTTGTTAAGGCTGGTCTCAAACTCCTGAGCTCAAGTAGTCCCCTCACCTCTGCCTCCTAGAGTGCTAGGATTACAATAATTGCTCTGAAGTCTTTAATGATTCCAACACCTGTTATCTTGGCATTGGTGTCTGTTCATCATCTTTCCCATTGGAGGTTTGATTTTCTTGGTTCTTTGTATGCCAAATAATTTTGTGGTATATCCTGGACATTTTAAATGTTATGTTACAGTATTCTGGGTTTTATTTAAATTCTGTGGAGAGTGTTGATATTTTTGTTTTAGCAGGCAGTCAGTCTGATTGGGTTCCGATCACAGATTCTAACCAGTCTTCTCTGGGTTGTAGTTTCAAGGTGAGCTTTGGTTGTAAAGCCATTACAGCTATTCAGATTTGCCCTATGTGTATACCACCCAGTAGCCAATCTGGGGCCCAGGAACTAGGTTTATCCTCTAGTTCAGTTTTCAAAGTCTGTCGTATACCATTTAGAGTCAAGTCCTCTGTGTATGCTGTAGCTCAAGGCCAAGCCCAGGAGTACATAAACTGCTTGGCCATTCCTCCACCAACTCCGACCTCAGTACTGCAATTGTTGGGATTTGCTATGGATCATTTCTATGTTAATGGCATGTGTGTTTTTTCTTCTTTCCCCAACCTTGTCCCCCCACATTATAGACAAGGCTGCATTGAGCATGCCTTCACAGGTCATTATTGCATACCTGTGAAAATATTGCTATAGTATAATGCTTGGAAATCATATAATGCTTGGAAATCAAAGTATTCACTTGATTTCATTTTATTCACAAGAAGTCATTGTTAAATCTATATATCTCTAAAAATATCCCTATTTACTCTTCTAGCAATAATTTATGAGAATGACAAGTTTCATTTTAGAAAGGAACAATGGAAAAATTCCTTTCTGTGATAGGCTGTAGATAAATTGGAATTGAGTACTCATAGGAACTATCTCAGATTAAAAAGAAGACCATTGTTTTTCTCTTAGGTGATGTGAAAATCATCTAGTCCTGATTTTGTTTCTCTCCCTTCCCTCCCCCCCAGAATTTTGATTCTGACATCAGCAGTGTGGGAATAGATGGCTGCTGGCAAGCAGACAGCCAAAGGCTTCTAAATGAGGTGATGGTGGAACACTTCTTCCGACAAGGAATGCTGGATGTAGCTGAGGAGCTCTGCCAGGTAACAGTGTGCCAACTGGGAGGGTATGTATGAAAAAACCAGGGGAACTCCTTGGAGTTTGCATTATTTGCAGAGTAAGGTTTTGAGTTTTCTGCTAGCTATAGATAGATTTTAAATATTTTAATTATTAGTGATGACTGCATTTTTTATTAGGAATTTTTTTTTAAGTAGTGAAAATTATAGTCCTAGAACTTGTTATCTGAATTGTTCTTTCCTTGTTCCTGGTGCAGAAGGTTGGTCCCAGATCATGAATCAAGGAGATCAGAAGAGGCAGTACTTTTCTTCATTTCCCCTTTTGATAGGGAAGTTTAGTATAGCAGAGAGACGAGGAAAAGGACAAAACATTAATGTTTGTTCTTCTGATCTAGAATTTTATCAGTGAATTTCAGACTAAAATTTACTTCATGAGCAGCGTTTTGTCTTTTATTTCTATTAGACATGAGCTTAGAGATCTTAGAACAGTTTGCCAAAACCATGAAGTCATTATAGGAGCAGCTGCCATGTATTCAGTGTTTACTACAAGCCAAGGCCCTGCCTTTATTCCTTGTAGCAACCCTGTGAAGTAGAAACTGTCATTCCCATTCTACAGATGAGAAATCTGAGATCTGGAGAAGTAAGTAACTTGCTCAAGGCCATACAGATTCTGCATGAAAGAACTGGGATTCAGTCCCCATATTCTTTTCTAAGCCACTATGTACAATTGCATTTTTGTTTGGAGAAATGAAAGACTAAAAGGATTAAATAATTCAAAAACAGTCTAAACCGAACATCTAATCTAAGCCTTTTTATTTTTAATAGATAACAGATTCCAGATTCTATTTTTAACAGATCAAATAAATGATAACTCAGATCTTTCTCTGTATCTTACAGGGATTTTATGTGTGTCTCTGTACAAATTTCCTAAATTGTGTCATTGAGGATTAAGTTTGTTTTTAAGTAACAAAGACCCCAAGTAACAGAGGCTTAAACAAAAATGAAGTTTACTTTTTCTCACACAGAAATAGGTAGTGAGACATCCACAGCATGTATGGTTCGGTTCCATTAAGCTCTCAGAGACCTACACTCCTTGTAGCTCTACTGTCCTGGACCACGAGCATGGCAGCCAAAGGTGCAACCATACCTTTGTATCCCAGGAAGAAACAAAGAGTGCATGCTTTTATTTCACTGGGCAGAACTTATATCTCGCAAAGCTATACCCAGCTTTATTTTCCATATGGTCATGTACCCTGCTGAAATTTGGAGGTTCTACTGTGGAAAGGGGGGGGAAGAATGATACTAGGGGAAGTCATTAATCTCTGCCATAGCAATACATGTTAAAAGGGAATTATTTTTAATGGTTTGCCCCATATTTTATAATCTAGCAAAATGCTTTTACCACAATCTCTTTATTCTGGTTACCACTAACAAAAGTTCTTTCTGTTTTTTTTCAGGAATCTGGTCTTTCTGTAGACCCAAGTCAGAAAGAACCATTTGTGGAGTTAAATCGAATACTAGAAGCATTAAAAGTCAGAGTTCTAAGACCTGCTCTGGAGTGAGTTACTGAGTTTGTTTTCTTCTGAATACTTGGAGAGAACTCTCTGTAAGAAAACTTAATTAGAAAACACATTAGAGATTTTTAATTTTCTTTTTTTTTTTGGGAGATAGAGTCTCTCTCCATCGCTGCAGCTAGAGTACAGTGGTGTCATCGTGGCTCACAGCAACCTCAAACTCCTGGGCTCAAGGGATCCTCCTGCCTCAGCCTCACGAGTAGCTAGGACTACAGGCATATGCCACTGTGCCCAGCTAATTTTTTATTTTTTTTGTAGAGGTGGGATCTTACTCTTGCTCAGGCTGATCTTGAACTCCTGAGCCCAAGTAATCCTCCCACTTCCACCTCTGGCTCTTGGAGTGCTAGGATTACAGGCATGAATGGAGATTTTTAGATATATTTATCTCACCTGGGGTAGACTTCAAAGAAATCAAAGAATTATTATTTCTTTTAACCAAGTAAAATAGGGGAGGTGCAATAAGAGAAAATGGTTAGAGCTTATTCAATAACCAGTTGGTCTGAATTCCAATGAGAGAAAAGGGTTTCCTGGATCCAGGCTATATCACCACTTTGTGTGGACTAACATTATAACTGAAGCACTATTGTTCAGGGCGTGCTGTTGATATTTGAGCTTCCATAATGTGCTGCAATCTGTGCTTGCATTCTAAGAAATAATTTAATTGGTTATTGGAACTAAGTGGTATACTGCATGAAAAGAGCAAATCTTTTTATAAAGTCATTCTATTCTTAATTACTGTGGATTTTGGTGATTCACTATGAACTTCTCATTGATAGGAATTATCTGAAGTGACTAAGTAAGCTGTACTATCCTAGAGCAGGGTCAGCAAGCTTTTTCATAAAGGGCAAAATAGTAAATAGTTTAGACTTCACAAACCACATAAGATCTCTGTCACATAATCTTCTTTGTTTTATTTTACAAGTCTTAAAAAATGTAAAAACCCATTCTTGGCTATCTGCCATACAAAAACAGGCAGCAAGCTTTATTTGGCATGTGCCATAGTTTGCTGAATCCTGTCCTAAAATTTTTTAATCTGAGGATTACCAGATATTTGTAATAAATAGCTCATAAAATAAAGGAAAGAAACAAGATGATAGAAACAATTGATATTGTTGTGAAGTTATACCCTTAGAATCCTGGTATTTTAAAACTGGAAAGATTTGAGATTAGTGTTAACCAGAAAAAAAATAGTTACGAAGTTGACTTTTAAAAAAATGTACAATTTTTCTTAACTTTTCTTCCACTAACCCATTTAATTCTTCATAGCTTAGTTTTCTGTTTATAATCATTTCTCAGTCTTAGAAGATTTTGCATAGTTCTAAAACAGCCCAGATAACCAGGCAGAGAGAGATTCCTATGTAAATTTATAAGTTGTAAATCCCTGTATAAATTATAAATATGAGGTAGGTACTGTATATTTAAAAATAGATTTCACTTAAGAACTGTGGGAACCTGTGGCCTTCTGATTTCAAGATTATTCTTTTTTAAGCACCAAAGGAGGCAAGAAAAGTGTCCTCTTTCTCTGCTATACCACTTTTAATAAAAGGATTTGTTCTGTAAAATTTAGATTCAGTCAAGGGCCACACTTAAGGACCTTTAGAAGGCCACATGTGGCATTCAGGCCACAGGTTCCCTACCCTTGGAAGCAGATATTAGATTTTGACACACCTGGGAGATAAATTCAACCAAATCATCTAATACCTCTTAAAGTCTGTCAACAACTGTTCTATAAAGAGAGTAAGGGATACCTTCTGAACCTGGTTCATAAAAATAAATAAATAAATGGTTTTTAAAAAAAGAATAAGGGAGCCTAAATATAAAAATGTAATGGTTTTCTCAGTTTTATAGTGATTAAGAAATAATATTTGGGTTGTTATTCAAGGTAATAATTCATTTATCCATGCATTTCTTAGTTTCATTTCATCAGACTTTAATTAAGTACTTACAATGATACTTAGTATTTGCTGCCTCAGCTTTCATAGTGCTCAAGACTTTTCCTTTTGGAATTAAGAAAATTCTTAAGACCCTTTTAACTTTGTGCTTTTTCTGTAAGGTATAAGTGTCTTACTGATAACCATATCATATTATCAATTATTTCTGTAAATGTTTCCTATTACTTGTAGCCTTTAGACAATCTCTGTTAGGTGAAGCGTGGACTCTATTCCATGCAGCTGGTGGTAACAGTGGGGATTACTTATGCAGTAAAGTTTTCTCTTTTGACTTTTCTGGAAATATTGCTGTATTAAGTATCAGGATGGGGGAATGAAGTGGTAATTATACTTAAGTCTTCTTGAGTGCTTATTATGTGCCTGGCATCATTCTAAGTATTTTATGGGTCTTAACCTTATTCAAGCCTCATAATAACCCCATGAGGTAGGTACTCATTTTTCAGGGGAGGCATTGAAGCCTGACAGATATGCTGTGAAAAAAGAATGTTGAGTCAGAAGATTGTATGAAAAATGCTTCCCATAATATTTCCCTAATATTCTCATCTAAGAGATTAATTTATTAAATGTGCCATCAGTAATGAAACCCATTTAACTTTGTATAACCCAGTGTTTCTTGTGTATATTTGACCAAAGAATCCTTGTTCTTCCTCCAAATAACACCTATTAAAACCCACAAAATTGGAATTCTACAAAACATAAGTTTGGAAAATGATGGTTTTATAGAAATGGGCATTGCAACAACTCAAACGTTTCTAATTCTTGCTTGTTACCGGTGGATGCAGAGCAAAAATTTACTAAGCATCTTTTATGAGCTAGGTTTAGAAAATTCACTTTATTCAACTTATAGCAAAAGATAAAAGATATGGGACACCAATTTGGGTGATTCTGGTTCAGTTACAAGGGAAAAATAACTGCCAGTTGTATAGCATCTCATTTTTCTCTGGTGGGAAGAAGCATCATGGGCAAAGAGGAAGGTGAAGGATCGCAGTAATTCCCCCAGGGTGCCTAGGCAAGCAAGGAGGCATAGGCCAACCAAAAACATTGAGATGGATAGAGGCCATGGAAGACCTACATGAGAAGGAAGGTTGGAGAATATTAGTTATTTAGTTGCAACAATGGAAAGAAGGTGGAAAAGAATGGTGATATTGCTGTGAGAAGTGGCAGAACAGCAACTGATTATGTACACAGACCTGGTTAGAACCCTGCCTATTCCTGTATTCATGCCCTTGTATTTCTGAGTTTTTACAGATTTTCCTCCTCATTCAGATTGCTTTATCTGCTTTTTGAGTTCTTCCTGGCACCTAGAACAGCATTTACTTCAGAGACATTCACTAAATAATGGAATAATTTAAAGAGAATTTTGAACAAACATGTCACCCTCCTTCACATGTCAGATAGAAGGAAAGCCAAAAATAATTAGCATCAACAAGAGAATAACAGTAACTTAATACAAAGAGATGGAGAAATATTAGAAAAAGAAACAGTCCTTGTAGCTATGCCAGTTATTGACATTTTGAAAGAAAAGTGCTATCGTTAAGGGAAGCCAATTGGTTGCTTTCCCAAAGGTATCTCAAAGAGTCATACTAACCTTGGTGGATTTGCCACAGTCTAGGATCTGACTTTCAGGCAGGCAGATGGGGAACCTGTTTTTGTTTTTAACACTAAGAACAGGCCTGGGCTTTTAAAAACTACAAAAACCTGAATTGCTAAATTACATGTATAGCTTGGATTACTAGTGGCTCTGAAACTAGACCATGCTAGGCAGATCCATGTGGAAGGCACATGAACTTGCTGAGCATGGAGTTGGAACAAGAGGAGATTGTTCTAGAAAATAATGTTCTCAGACTGAAATATCATGATTCCATTATCTCCCAACTAGAGATGGTGTTGTAAAGCTGTTGGGGAGTTCAAAGTTCATTGGCTGACTCCTTTTCTCTAAATAGTCTTTGGATTGCCTTGGTCAGTCCTTTCTTAGGCTTCCATTACTGAGCAGACTGCTTAAAAAAAAAAAATTAACACTGTTAAAACATTATTTTATATGAAACCTTCACATTTGAGTTTTGAGTCAGCATTGATTATCCTAATAGGTAATACATGGACAAAGTAAGAAATCAAAAGTTACAACAAAATCAAAATGCAGTGAAAAGTAAATCTTCTCCCCACCCTTGGCCCTCAGTCACCCAGTTTCTCGTCATACAGACAGTTACTACTCACCCTTTTCTCCATCCTTCCAGAGATATTCCATACATTTACAAAGTTATGTGTACGGTAGTCTCTGCTTATCTGTTGGAGATACGTTTCAAGACCTCCAGTGGATGCCTGAAACTGCTTATAGTACCAAACCCTATATATGTTGTTTTTTCCTATATGTACACACCTATGGTATACCTAATTTATAAATTAGGCACAGTAAAAAATTCACAACAGTAATAGAACAATTATAACAATATACTGTAATAAAAGTTAAGTGAATATATATAGTCTTTCACAAAATATCTTCTTGTACTGTACTTACCTATTTTGGGATCATGGCTGACAACAGGTAACTATAACTGGAAAGTGAATCCACGGATAAGGGGAGACTACTATATTATGTGTATGTCCGTTTTTGTGCCCAAATGATTGCATACTATACACTGTTCTGCATCTTACTTTTTTTCACTTGAAAAATTTTGAAGTATTCACCTATATACAGAACTATCTTGTTGTTTAGTGGCTGCTGAGTGTTCTCATTTAGGGATTAGACCTTATTTTTATTGAACCATTTCCTGTTGGTAGACATTTGGTAGTTTCCAATCTTTCACTTTATAAGCCATGCAGCAGTGAATATCCATTGCACATTATTTTGAGCATGCCCAACTATATCTGGAGGATATATTCCTAGAATGTTGGGCCAAGGTGCATTTAAAATTTGGATTGATCCTACCAAATGTCTATCTTTAACAGGTTGTCCCAAAATCATTCCTATCACAAATAGCAAGGGTCATTATGTTGCAGCTGATTTTTCCCTCTATTTTGGTTTTTTTTGATCTTTG